CCCGCCGTATGCCTGGCTGGGGCTGCAGGGGGGGAGCAGGCACGGGTCCTGCCGTGCGCGTGTGGGGTGGGAGCCGGCGCTGGGGCCTGGGGGAGCGTCCTGTGCAGCTCCTCAAGTCTGTGTGAAAATAACAAGTGACTTTGTACGAGATGCAAACCAGTTGTTTTCATGTGCATTGGTCCGCTGCTGTTTTCTGTTCATTACACCAAGAGCTTTATATTCTCAGGCAACTGCTTGAAAGAAGTCCCCAGACCAACAGCAAACAACATTTTCTCTCACTTGGCAGCACCGCCAGCAGAGCAGTTTGCATCATTCCTACTCACAACAGTCCTGTCAGGCAAGCTTATAAACTACTAGCAACATGCTCAGGTCTCACACTTGTCCCTGTTTCATAGTGAAAATTATACTCAGAAAGATCCCTTCCAGCATTAACTAATCAATAATCCACAGTGTAACTTCAACTGCTTCAACGGTGTCTCTTGAGTTTTTAAAGGAAGATCATTTCAGTTCTCAGAATCACAGGCCCTACCTACTTTTGTAAGTTCCATAACACCACCCCTTTCACTCAGCACATACATATTCTCTTTATTCAAACATAAGCACACAGACTTTTTAATGGACTCAGAATTTTATGGTTTACACATGAACAAGAGGTACTTGCTTAAAAATTTGGTCTCCTTCCTCCTTTTTAGGTTTCAAGAAGAGACCTTCATATCGATGCCCTGTAAATCACACAAGTAACAAAACAGTATTTGCATTTCATGTTGTTATTTAAATATGAGCTCAAGTCTGCAGAAATGGGGACCTTAGTATGGATTAACAATGAATTCAGAAGGAAAACTATTACACCAACTGAAATTAGTGATGCTGGACATCACCAATGATATGTCACCAACACATGTCTAACCATTGTTTTTAGAACTAGAGGTACTAAAACTACTATGTAGAAACTACGTGATCCTGGCGTCTAGGCAGTAAAACCATCATCCACTTTTAACTCTTTTAACAGGAAGCCAACTTTTCTATAATTAAAATAATTCTTTTAAATGTCTATTTTGGAAAAAATATACCCAGTATTGATCTGTTTGATCTGGCTACTGATCTGTAGCCAAAGATGAGGCAAGTATCTGCACCTCCTAAAACTCATTCTTTTCTTTCTTATCTGCTTACTGGTTTTGAATGTAAAATTCCCAGCTGTTAATTTTCTCTCAAGGAAAGTAAGTACAAAAATCAACACAGGTAGTTTGTGAAAACAAGAAAACATCACAGAACAATAAATGGTCATACAGAAGTTTTTAATGCTTGATTAAATCATCACAGTAATCAGAATTTTTTTACTGTAATGATATGCAGCTCTACCACACTATTATAAATAAAAACATTAAGATCAATATTAAATACAGCTCTAGGCCACATCACAGATTAACAAAGAATGCATTCTTCATGAACCGGAAACTGAATGGTTTAAAAAGGAAAAATGCTGACACTTTCCCCTTCCCATCCACCACCTTGTTTTTTCCAATTAGTCACTTGGTAAGGCGTCGGAAGTTTACGTTAGAAGGTTTCTGTTGCACGGCACACGCACGCAGACACCTGGTCATGGTAACCTCCCACCTGTGTTTACCAGAAGACATTTCAAATGTCTACAGGGGAAGCTGAGCAGGTCAGATGAGCAAACAGATTTGTCTGCAGCACTCAGACTCCGTACTGGAGCTGTGAAACAGCAGGTGTGTGAACTGCATTTTAATTCAGACACCACAGTCTGTAGGATTGGGAGCGAGTTAATCCAGGAGAGGCAGCTGTGTTTTATGAGAACAGACATGACAGGGGTTTCAAACATGTAATGCTCTTATATTCTTCCATGGCAAAAAAAAAAGATAACAAATTGGCATTGCAGATGACTTCCAGAGCTGCATTCTATAAATGGGCCAAATCCTGCTCTTTGTGAAGCTGCTTCTGCCCTGTGCCACGTAACAAGAGTGTATTTTGAACCACTAGCCCTGACTTAGGTGGAAGAATACAGCATGTCGCTGCCAGGCCCCGGCTTTAACACAGCCCAACTCCCTGTTCCAGTTTCAAACCCGTTTTTGATACAGGGGCTGATCACCACAAGCCCACTGGCACGTGTCACTTTTTGCTGGTTGTAGCTGCTGCAAGAGATGAGGAGATGAGATGCAGATGGCAGTTTTATACTGAGAAGAACTGCTAACTATTCAGCAGAGCACTTAAGCACAGGCATTATTTCGGAGCTTGCTGAAAGTACCAAAATTTCGGTTCAGCGTATTGTACTTGACATAAAACCACACCAAGTATTTTGCAAATAAAAACATTAGAGGTAACAGTGATGAATGCCTTACAGATACCTAAAATTATCATTTTAGACTTTTACAGTTTATATTTTTGCAGTCTTGTGGGCATTTATTGTTCAAAGGAGGGCTATATTGTTATTATAAAATTGTCATATTATTCCATATTATACAGTGTGATTTGTCTGTCAGATTTCTTAATTTTTTTCCCTATCTGCTTTAGCTTTACAGCATATTGCCTTTTTACCTCTGCATGTGTCTGTGGTGGCTTGATACAGTGAATATGAAACAAATTAATGTAGTGACTGGAAAGAAGTAGGTAATTAAGTTGGGGATCTGTCAGTTCACCTTCTTGTGTGGGTGTTGCTGCTGAGCTCTAAGTCCTGCCAAAGCTTCAAGTACTGGATTTGGTTCTGCCCTGCTGCTTATCTTCTGTGGCTACCTATCATTTACACCCCTATCTACCTGGGAAAAAAAACAGTCAAAAGCAATCTAATAGTTACAGTTGCTTTCGTCCTATTATTTTTAAAACCTTGCAGTACTTTAAAATAAAATTTTAACATTACTGCTCCAGTTATCTGCTAGTAAAGGAAAAAGGAAATCTTACAGTAACGGCAGTGAAAGTTATATTTGAAAATGACCTTATATACTATTGGATCATAAAGAAGCCACTTTATTTAAACCCTTCATCTAGTTGTAAACGTTTGCTAATCCTCCATCACATGCAGAGGATTATGAATTATTCTATAAAATCACATTAAAAAGTTAATTAGTTATGTGAGATATCAACTGATTCATATTTAACAGACTTTTTAAATCCATACAAATATAAATAAAGAATGGTAAAATGTCAAGAAAAATAATATACATTTAGTGCAAGTTATGAGTTACATTTCTTCCTACCATGTCAGCAGTGGAACGTCTTTTGTGGAGAAGAAAAAATAAAAATTACCATTTTCAAATTTTGCAGAGGGGGAAGAAAGATCTCCAGTGTTGTAGCATGCAATTTTTACCAGATACATGTATACAGAATTGTCCCAGCTCTTAACTACTAGAATAGGAGTATTTTGCCCTGTACTGCACAACATTGTGATAGAACATAGTGTTTCCAATAATACAAAAATTGCATAAGACCAGGTCACGTTACTGATAATCTCTGCAGCAAACCCAGAATTTTTCTTTGAAATGCTAGTTTAATCTGGTTTCAGTATTCCTCCTATCACAACAGCACACGGGTTGAAAGAAGTCTCAGGTGGTTGTTACAAGGCGTGACCTGCTCGGCCTGGTTTTGCTGCAGCAGATCTGTGCTGCCCCTAGCACTTCTCCATGGACCAACTTAGGGGTTTCATGGCACGAGAAAAACCTCCATTCTTGGGATTGAACCTCAGTAACTCACAGTACATCTCAATATGAGAAACAACTGCTTCAAAAAGGGCACACCAATTTTAAAGAGGCTTTGTTGCAGCTCAGGAGAGAGAGAAAAAGCTCTTTGGGAATGTAGAAAGGTGACGTGTACCAATTAATAGGTTTCATGAGTTAACACAACAGTGTTCAATGGTAAAAAGGGCAAGACCTTTCAGTCTCCGTAGGATGGCTCAATTCAGGAAGATCCCTCCAGAAGCAGGGACTATAATGCATCTCTTCAGTGACGAAGCACCAGGCTGGGGCTGGAGGATCCGCCCCCTCGCACAGCTCATCCACTGCACTATCATGACAGACCTGACGCCTCGGGGTGCATCCAGTGCAGGACAGCAGCTCTCCCTTCCCGTGCTCCCGTCAGCCTTCGTCCTCGACAGATTTTTTCCCCAGACCAACTCCTCATTTCCAGCAGCACCGTTACGCAAAAACCTGGCTCTCATCTCTGATTTTAGAAGCATCCCCCAGACTAAAGTGTTGTGCTATTCAACAAATGAACCTCCTCTTCCGTCTCCTCTCTCTCCTCAGCTATGGGTTTCAGTTGAACATGATGGAGGCGGGGTCTTGGTTTGCCGTCTGGGCCATATGACGGAGGATATCTTTTTTTGTTATAATGCCAAGGAGGCGCCTGGAAAGGATAAATGGAAGATCGATATTAATCCAAGCAGGAAAATAATAAGGCAGAACAGATCTGCAGCCAAGTCCTTTTTGTTGACAGGAATAGAGCCAAAGTAAACAGCCTGATTTTTCTTACTTCAACAAAAACATTTTATTCGTCAAAATATGGAGGAACCACTGGTTTGTTAAAAGACAACGTTACTGAGACACCGTATCAGATGGTCTCTGACGGCTGTAGTCCATTTTAATGAAATGCAAGTAATACAAGTAGAGCCCCTGACAATTTTTATTTAACTATTTGTTTCTACAAAAATTAAATTTTTATTAGAGTATGCCAACAAAAAAGTAACAGAGAGGGACAAAGAAAAAAGAGGTATAGAAACGAAGTGATATTGATCCATTTCGTAAGGGAGGCATGTTCTGACCTAGCCATCAGGAGTGAGATACCACCTGATGGCCCAAAATCCTAAGAGCAGACCGAATTCCCCTCCATTTTTAAATCCTAAGGATCCTTCCAGTCTGACACACTGGGTCAGGCTGAACGTATTCATAGGAGCACACATAGAACTTTTTGTAAAATAAACAACAGTTAACTAGGTTTTGGAATTCACAGCTTTAGAAAATAAACGGTTAATAATAAAAGAATATTTTCATTTTCCAATTTAGATGCTGTGCTCTTATGGCAAGGTCTTCATGGCTTTTGAGATTATAATAGCAAAATACCAAAAAGGGTGAGACTGTCTAAAAGGATAATATCACAGGAGAAGCAAAGAGCAGAATGGATGAGCTGCTGCCCTTGTTATTCTGGTTAGTACATTTTGGTTTGTCTTATTGAAGGACGCATGAAATACTTGTGAAATATTAGCATAAAATGAGAACATAATTAGCATGGTTTGCACATAAGCAGCTAAACCTGGTGGGTACGTTTAGGAGAGATGTAACTAGCAACCTATGTCCAAATTAAGACAAAGTCTACTGTCTCTCTAAGGTTAGTTCACAACATCATGGTTAAAACAAGATCTAGGTTCTGAAGTCAACAGTCAACACAAGCAGCAAGCCGTGTAGTGGCCGAGGGTATCACTGAGCGTTTTGTAAAGGAGTACAGTAACTGCTGTAGGTCACAGCAGCAGAATCACAGGACTTCACATAAAATCACAGGACTTTACTGAAAATAAGATACTTTTAAAAAAAACCAAGTTGGTAAAGGGGTGTTACAGGGAAGATGTAATGGTGTGGCACATTAAAAACATGCCTGGCTTTGCTTCTCAAAAGACGCGATACTTGCTTTGCTATTTAACAGCTGTTTAAAGCTGTCAAGATCAGAAAAAGAAACTGGTGTATACAGAAATTGTACTTTGCAGTAAGCAGGGAAACAGTATTCCTAGCTGCCTGCTGTCCCACCTGGGGAAATCAGCAGATTAAGTCCATGGATCTATGTGATATCAAGAACAAAAGTATCAGAAAGTCTATTGTTTACTTTCCTTTAATGTTGTGACTAACAGTACACCTATATTATAAACAGCTTAATTTCTGCAAAAGGATTTTGCATGTATTAATACAGATTTTTAGCGTAAGATTATTTCATTGTTCAGCTGATGTCATAGAAGCCCTGAACAGTTCACAAGTTTCATGCTTCCCTGACGTCTAATGTGTCTAATTATGAGATCTGATATATCTAATCACCAAGGGTTCGACGTGCTGCTTTAGTTGCTCGAGATGCTCTAATATGTTCTTCTTTGTGATGATCCCCAAGACAATCCTGAAACAGATCATGTTATGCTAATAACTGTGTGTGAAATCAAATGAAAAAAAAATTCTAATCATAATGAAAAAAAGATTAGAGCAAAACACACAAATAAAAAAAGAATGGTTGCATGAAAGCTTATGAGATATTTAAATGAAAAATGATTTAGCAGTTGGCACCCTTTCCCTTTTTCCCTCTCCCAAAATGGTGAACACAACTGGATCTTCAAACACCGCAGAGCAGTACATTTCTCACATCAAGTACACATCAGGGAAGCACACTTCATCCCTTCTCCCCAAATCTACATCTCTTCAGGTGTTAGAAGCACTGAAACTAAAATCTACTTTATTGCCTTTGCTTAGCGATTATTTCTCCTCACACATACAAATAATGATTCAGGTTTTAACAAGCCACAGTAGATGAACAGAGCCTTAACTGTGTAAAGTCAAAGCAACTGAATTTTGAAGCTGCCCTACAGAGCAGGGTTAACTGGTGTCCCTAGAAACAGGCAAGTGCAGACAAATTTCTCATTCATGACAGTATAAATCAAGAGCAACTCCCTGGAATGGACTTTCAGGTACAAATTCAGAAGTGAGGCTCAATCTTTATCAGTTTGTCTGTCATCGGCACAAGTTTCTGCACAGTTCCTGTTCCAATCTGGATTGGAACCAGTAAATTGATGTGTGTCTTTATGTGGCTGTATCAAATTTGCAGGAAATTTGCCAAAATACAGATTAGTCCTTCATGTCCACATACCATGGCTAAATACTGCTAGTAGTAGTATTTACTATCTGATGTTGCTGTAATGGACAGTGTGCTCATGGAGTATCACAAGTTTGTAAACTGAGGCAGGACAGCAAATATGAATGTTTGAAAACAATAAATTATTAAAGCCATACTATTTGCTGCTACTTTATCATAAGTTACTTTAAAATTTATAGCACAGTTTGCCATAGCTTTGCACAATAAGCTTTCTTTAGAGTCGATCTTAACATCAATGTTTGATCACTCAACCACAACAGAAAACTAAGAAAAAAAAAAAATCATCGTAGTAAATACTCTTCACTGAAGTTTCATCGATTCAAATCTCCCTCCACAAAGCAAAAATGCCTGCACTGACTTCTGTCAGATCATGATGTCCTGTCCCCATCAGAGAAAGGTTTTTTTAAGTCATTTTTGCTTCTGAAAACATCTACTCAACATTCAGTGCAGGGGTGTATTGAAAAAAACAAAAACAAAACAACTGGACAACACTTAAAATACTTTTGTTTTAAAATACCTCTGAAAAAAATAAACTTGGGAAACCAATGTGATATTTAAATATCTGCCACTTAAAGCAGCAGTCCTTTTGCCCACAGCAAAACAAAGTCTCACTCATATTTCAGGTTTCTTGGGTTCCGCCCCGTGGACACTGAACCTGAATAAGGTACCCACCTTATATAGCAGACAATACTTCACTGCCCAGGTGCCTTAAAACACATGCTAAAGGGAAAGCAAGATACTATGGTAGGAGCTGCAATGTTGTGTGTCAAGCACAGATACAGGGATGCAAAATGTTGAACGAACAGCTACACATAAAAGGATCATGTAAAAAAAGGAGTAGTTTAGGTAAGAGGCAACTATAACGAACATTCATGTTTCTATGCCAAGGACTGATATATTTATATTTAATGGGTAATTATATGACAACTCCCTACAGTATCATTCACAAACATTCCAAATCTTAAAATTACTTTCTTAAAATATTTTGAAGTGTAGAAACAAAAGTTACTCAGTATTCCAAAACCAAGGGTTTGGTGGTAATTGCCATCAGTAAACTCCAGAAGTAGAGACACTGACTGGATCCTTTCCTCCCTTGGTTTTCATGAACCCGGGCATTTGTAGATGTTCAACAGCAGATCCACTGCACTTTGCCAAAGCACTGACAGGACCCAGGAAATACAGGCCTTACACTGTGCACCACACAAGGCTGAAGTTCTGCAAGACAAGCTGCCTCTTCTCCACGTGCAAGTTGCATACACAAAACTCACCAAGTGAGAGCTGGTTTTTTAACAGAACACCTTAAAATGACTGAAATCACCTGCCTGCTTACTTGGAATACACGGGAGAAGTAAGAATTTAAGAGAGGTGCCACAGCACAGTTACGAGTCCTCGGCTGCAGTACCGAACTCAGGGGCTCAAACACCATGATCCTGGAATATATGCTGGTTGAAATACTCTTATCATGGAAGTGAAAATAACTGCCTCTAACAAAATGAGCAGCACTCCTGCCACTGGACTCACCCGTTGTGTGTTACAAGGCACTGCCTCAGACCCAGCTTCCGGAAAATATCCACCACTATTTCCATGGGTGTGTGGTCTGTCACGGTGAAAGGGCTCATATCAAGTATACTTCTAAGCTTCAGAGGTCGAGGGCTTTCTGCTGGAAGCGATGGGGTATGCTGGGCAAAACAGACCCTGGAACTGCCAACAATCCCTTCCTGCTTCTTTCTAGCACTTTCTTTAAAAGAAAGAGGGGAGGGGGGAAAACGGCAGAGGAGGGAGAATTTACATTCTTGAAGTAAGATAATTTAGTACAAACAGATCAATCAACACTACTCGACTCTGATGTTGTTCTCTAGATGCTGATCCTCTGCTCTGTACTGTTCTGATGTCTTTCCATAGCCACTGCTTTAATCCTAAGAAGTGTTTGTGCAGAAATCACATAAGCCATCTACAGTAGAGCTTTAGCCATTTTTTGGCTACCACCTTTCTCATGCCAATAAGTAACTCCTATAACTTACTATAAAGAGGTGGGAAGACTTAAAAAATAACATGCAGAAAGCACAGTGGTGGCTGCAGAAGAAACTGTCAAGGGGAAAGCCAATGTCAATTGACAGCTCCTCTGTCATGATTCTGACTGCTGTAATTACTGGTTTGAAACCAAAGCAGTAATAACTGATCACTCTGAAAATGTCTTCTTGTTTATATTGAATTTATTTAGCTTTTTGTGAACTAGATCCTCTTTCTTTTAATGTCTTTATCACTTTGGTGACAATGGCATCCCACCCTGTACCCTGAACTATTTCAAAAAATGACTCTCTTAAGCCAGCCAAATCTAAGACTAAACAATTTGCTCTGTACAGTCTCAGCAGCTGGGATGTCCTACCTGTGGAAGTGCATTATTAGAGGAATGTTTTCCCATTCCCTCATTTACTCTTCAGTAAATGCAAACTTAAACCAGTATGATATCTATAAAAACTTCCAAGTTTTGGACCTTCTTGTATACGCCACAGAGTGTAATACCACAGTATACACAGTATTAAGACCACAGGCAGGAGTTTTACTGCAGTAAAATGGTATGGTTTTGACAAAAAAAAAAATTTTTTAAGTTTCAGGGGACTTTTGCATCTCTGTCTTAAGTGCCTTTGTTAGAGATACTTGTCAATGTAGTCTTACGAATTACAGAAAAAAGTAATAGTTTAAGATGCAACTCCCATGAATGAATTATGCACTGAATGTTTTCTAACATTTTCTTACATGATAATGATTTTTGTCCATCAGTTATGATAGTATCCTCAAAGTCCACAAAATTTTTCTTGCCAGGGCACAAAGCATTGTCACAAGGACAACACAAGTTCTAATACTCACACAGAGGAAGAGGGCCATTGATAGAGCTCTTGTACTCATGTGCCCATGGCCAAACTTTCCATTACACAAATTGAAAAACAGAAACCAAAAATAGTTAGTATTTCACTTCTCTCTCTGTGATACAATCTTAGTTGTTGTAACATCAAGTAAATAACATACTGTCATAGAGAAGTATGATACACATTTAAATGTAAAAATTACTTGGACAGTAATTCTCACAGAACCCTGCTGTTCTAAAATGAGAATGACTCCATTTTGAAGAAGACTGTTAGTGTAGTGTCACTTGAGGAAAAGAGACACTAGCAAAAGCCTCAACACAAAAGCACCAGACTAGATGATGGTTTGGCCTACTTCAGTAGGACAACTTTTGTCTTTGGGACAGAAAGCTAAACATTTTCTCCCTTTCAGAGCCTGCTACTGAAGGTATCAATACACTGCAGTCATGGAAGAGACAGACTGTGCGAGGTATCTGAAAGGAGTCCAGAAACACACAGAGTAAATTCTGGCTTAAGCTATAAAGTAATTTAAATTGACATATATAATCATGCAATACTGGAAGATAGTTACCTATTGCAATAGTTAAATCTCTTCTTAGAGCAAAGCCCACCAGTCTCTGTGATTCTTTTGACATAATAACAGGAAAACCATTATAGCTGGTTTCGTTGATCAAGTTTTCTATGTCTTCGACTGTCATGTTATCCTGTGTCAGAACTGCTAGAGGTGGATCACTTCTTCGGGGTCTCATAACATCAGCAGCCAGTGTTGTGTGAGTAAATTCTTCCTTTGCATCCAAGAAAGGATATCCATTCAGTCGGATGTGTGCCTCATAGATGCCTTCCCTACCAAAGGCATCTCCTACCCACTTACTGGTCATGACTGCGGCCATTAGGGGCACAATATATTCCAGGCCTCCTGTTAGCTCAAAGACAATAACTACCAGGGACACAGTCATCCTTGTCACACCACCTGCAAGAAAAACAGCAGCCAGTAACATTCTAGTATCAGCAGAGAATGAATTTAGAATTTCCTGCCTTCCTGTTGAGAACTACAAATGTAACTTAGCCATCAAAGGTCATCTGACAAACATAATTCTGAGAAATAAAACTAGAAGCCAACAAAAAAACAAAAAGGATCACAAAACTTTTACAAGTAAAAAAGAGAGCTTTAGGGAAAATTCCTAGAAAGTGAGAGAATAAAGGGATTCAAAAAACGTGCAGGTACTTCATGTAAACTAAGAACAGAAGTATGTATGACTCCACATCACACCTAGGTTAAAAATCCTGCGAAATGCACGGAAACCCAGTAAGAGAAGAATTTGGAAAAGGAATGGAACCAATGCAGAGATACTAATACAGGTAGCAACACAACAGCTGTTTTGTCCAAAGGACGAGGGATTTAATGCTGCTCCTGAATCATACAAGGTAAAGAGAATTCTGAACTGATGAAAAGAAATCTTTCTTGGACAATGGGAAGACAGGGATTATATTTCTCTTTTGTTTGTATTCAAGATGTTTTTTCTGCCACGGCTCCTGATGCTGTATCTTCACTCAATAGAACAATATGATCTTTCTTTCAATGCAGAGATACTAATACAGGTAGCAACAAAACAGCTGTTTTGTCCAAAGGACGAGGGATTTAATGCTGCTCCTGAATCATACAAGGTAAAGAGAATTCTGAACTGATGAAAAGAAATCTCTTTCTTGGACAATGGGAAGACAGGAATTATATTTCTCTTTTGTTTGTATCCAAGATGTTTTTTCTGCCACGGCTTCTGAGGCTGTATCTTCACTCAATAGAACAATATGATCTTTCTTTCAATGCATTCAGCAGTGATTCAAGTTGCACTATTAAAAAACAAAAACTCTCAAAAAATGAAATTTGTACCACTAGTTTGATTGCTCAAATATACTTTTTCCTCCAGTAAAAGGTCTACTTTTTGCAGAATATGTATTAATAGCTTTTAAGATTAATTGCTAACACAATGAAGTTATAAGCTAGGACAAGACAAGACCTCAACAAAACTCTCCTAGTTTAGGTGTCCAACTTAAGCCTCTCACTGTGAAGCTGATTTTCAACAATTTGTGAATCAGATTTGTTAACGATACCTCAAACTAGACTCCTCAAATCATTAGACTTTCCTGAAAGTTTTGTTTGGATTATGAATTTCAAGAACATTTTTTTGCAATTCATGTAGGTGTGGCAGCTGATCGAGTCATCTCCTTGTAATAATTTCAAAAGCATTTGACTTCTCCAAATCGCCTACTGATTTTTCTCTGACTGATGTAGCAATGATATTTCTTGACAGCAGAAAGAGAAAGACAACACTACTATTTAAATTCTTAATTTTGATTCTTGAAATTGATATTTCTCATCCATTTATATTTCACATATTATTCCTCAGATCATTCGGGTCTGACAGTCTCAGGTCATGAATGTATTACTCTGAAGAGAGAAGTCCATGTAACAAGGTGTTCCAAAACTGTACGCTCCTATATCTCCTTTCATTTTTTAATCATTATTTTGACAACATACATCAGATACTTAGTTACTTTGTTCAGTTTTATTTACCTAAGCACGCAGCAGCACCAACCATGGCATAAAGGCCGGGTGTAATACAGTCTGCTCCAACTTCACACCACTCCTTGAAAATGAACCAGTCGTGATGGTAGTAAGCCAGCTGCTCCACTGCAATGCCCACAATCCTTCCTGCTATCGCTCCAATCGCCATACTAGGTATGAACAACCCGGATGGAACCTGCAACAACACCACAGCTGCTCTCATGCTGATGGGAACATACCTCACCCATCTTTTTTCCAGTCTTTTTTCCTCCCAAAGATATGCAAATGCTTAAATTGTCAGGTTAAAAATGTGTAAATTGACCTGGTAAGGTTAGCAAAACTTCACACAGTGCTTTTGATAGCTCTGATCAACCTGGTTAGCTGAGTCTATTTTATGAGCATGTTTGCTTATATTTTACTGTATTTAAGAGCAAATCTATCACTAATACAGGGCCACAAACTAGACTCTCAGTGCACAATTCTTACCATGTATGTGCCCAGCCTGAGCTGTGCTACTAGTACTGAAAAGTCTTCCTTACTATTTCCCATGTCCCTTTATTACTTCATGCCACTGAGTCAACATTCACTTACTGAACAAGCTTTGCACCTAGGACTGCCTTCCCAGACTGCTTCCTAATACTGCTAGAAGTTAAGTGGCCAACTGAACAGGTGATTTTCAAAAGAGGCTTTGCTTACTACATTGCAGTTTCCCATACAAGAGTGTATTTTGAATGGTAAATACATGAAGAAAACAAGACGAGACAGCTCCCATTGCAAAAAGTATGTAACACAGTCATGTTAAAAAAAAAAATTCCCACTGTGATTTTATTTATTTAAACTGTTTTTCTGTTATTAACTGAAACCTGAAAAGGCCACACAGCCACTAGCATGGCTTAGCAAAATATGACTGCAAACCTTGCTTCTATCAGCAGTATCATAAGGAGTGAAGGTTCATCCGAGAAACTTCTGTTGTGTATCTTCCTTCCTCCTCAGGAAGTTAATCTTTCTAAAAAGCATACTGGAGTGCCAATGTCTCATTAAACTGGAAATGCCTGCTGCTTCTCCTCACAGCAGTTAGTAGTATCAAAATACTACAGAAAAATACACTGTGACTGAGGTACAATCTGAATACAAATAATGAGTAGAATTTTTACTTTATCTAAATGCACCTAAACCCATCTTGTCAAAATAACTTCATTTAAAAAACTGCACTCCTGGTGTAGCAGAACACAATTTAATTTTTTTCCACTACACAGTTTTAAAATTTAAGTATTGTGCAATTCCTAACTAGATTTTGCCATGGAATCCAAGAGCTGGTGCAGAACACAATCTATTTGCTATTACTGTTATATTGCAAATACTGGGAGTTGCAAAGATGATTTCTAACACATAAACCAAGGACAAACATAGCAAATTTTGTGTTTGAAAGCCAGCAGTGTAGGTTTTTTTAGGAAAAGTTTAATAACACTTTATTCCCATCCTGAACTGCCTAGGATTTTAGTGTTGGTAGCAGTAACTATTCAATGCTATGATTTTTGTCTAACACCCAAATTATGCATTTATAGAATCACAAACATCATTTAGGTTGGAAGAAACCTTTAAGATTGAGTCCAACCATTAACCCAGCACTGCCAAGTTCACCACTAAACCATGTCAAGTGCCACATCTACACGTATTTTAAACACCTCCGGGGATGGGGAACCTACCACTTCTCCCAACAGCCTGTTCAAGAGCTTTACAATCCCTTCTGTGAATTAATTTCTCCTAGCACCCAACCTAAACCTCCCCTGGCACATCCTGAAGCCATTTGTTCTTGACCTACCACTTGCTCCTTGAGAAAAGAGACCAGCACTCACCTCTCTACAACCTACTGTCAGGTAGCTGTAGAGAACAATAAGGTCTCCTCTCAGCCTCCTTTTCATCAGACTAAACAGCTCCAGTTCTCTCAGCCTCTCCTTATAAAACTTGTTCTCTAGGTCCTTCACCAGCTTTACTGCCCTTCTTTGGACATGCTCCAGCAACTCCATGTCCTTCTTGTAGTGAGAGGCCCAAAACTGAACACAGTATTTGAGTTATGGCCTTCCCAGTGCTGAGTACAGGGCAACAATCAATGACTTAGTACTGCTCGCCACACTATTTCTGAAAGAATTAATCATGCATCTAAATCCCTTTCTAAAGGTTTAAATAAAATCTTTTTCCTGAGTGAAATTCCTTCTTGGTGAACAGTTCAACAGTACCATGAAAAAACAAGATTTCAGACATAAAAGTAATTGAATAAATCTTTTAAATTGCCTCAGATCCTAGTCTGCTACAGCAATATGCCACACAAACTCAGTGTCCACATGGAAATTCCATCCAAACTGCTTCTGGTCCTTTATTAATGTAAATTTTTTATGCATCTAGCGCCTCCTCTTCTCTCCATGGTATGTGGATGATGGTCAGAGTCTAACCAGAATTACGAATTCACAGCTGCAGTCATTTGCATAAGCCTCTGAAACAGCAGTCAAAGTGGAGGGAAATGTTCACTGAGAAGCAAGGAAGAATGTTAGGTTTCACCTTGTCTCAGGCTTTCTTCTCCAATGCACGCCAGCCTAACTCAAGTTATCATATAGAGAAGATTTGTTCTGTGGCACATGTATCATCTTTGAAACAAACAAGGAGTCAGGATATGGGTGCAACTTTCTCCTTCTCTGTAGTGCAGCTGCATACCAGTTGGGTTCTGAGGCAAAGCTGTAATGCCACCTCAACTGCTGATCATCAGCATTCAGACACAAGGAGTCAACTGAGTCAACTGCTAGTAAGCAGTACAGTATGCACACAAAAGCCTGAAAGAAAATAAAACCAAACCCAAATGACTGCCGGATCAGCGTACGGCACTGGGAGCAGCAATGGTCACAATGCCCCACAGGCAGCACCTAAACTGATTTGCCTACCTCACAGGAAAAGAGTTCCAGTGGGGCAGAAGTGTTTGCACGTAGCTACAGGTCTAGGAACAGACCTAGAGAGCCCAGAAGATCCTTTAGTAATAACTGACATGATAAAATAGTTGTCTTCTTATTTTTTTCTTTTTTGGATTTGCTCCTTCTAGTCATAGAAATAAAGCTTAAAATATAAATAAACGTAATATTAAAGTACTATCCCTTTCTCCAGATACTAGCCAACATTTTAACAAGTTATGTGCTTCAGAGAAATCATAAGTTATAAACTTCAGAGAAATGTATGTAGCACAGTCCTATCAATGACAGCAGCATGACTCCTCCCCTACTGGTGAAGTAATACATATATTCTTACAGCTTCACAAAAATACTTTCACAAGCTACAGATGCTGAAGTTCTAAGAAAATGAACCAAAACCAAATTAAGCATAAGCTCTACTATTCTGTACTCCAGTGAGTTCTAATACATGAAGCGTGATCCTGTGGTGACAGCCCCATGAGAAAGAGACATATGCTCATGAACAGTAAAAAATGTTATAATGCTCAGAAGGGCAGAGCCCTCGGTATAAGTGAAATACAGTAGGTGAATAAAACCCAACACATGAGATTGGAGCCATCACTTTATAGGATTAATGGCTGAAATTCTGACCTATGGAAGACTAGCATTTAAAATACATATGATGGATTTCTCTTACCATATGCCAACATATGAAAAACAACTTCAAGTAACAGACTGCAACATCTTCTAAAATACCAGCATATGAGAAATAAAACACGATATTGTTCTATCAGCTACTTAATGACAGAACAGTTGAGGTTGGATGGGACCAATCCATATTGTCTACCTCTGCTCAAGCAGGGTCAGCTACAGCAGGTTGCCCAGGATTGCATCCAGTCAGGGTTTGAGCAAGGCTGGAAACTCCACTAGTTCTTTGGATAACCTATTCCAGTGTTCAACCACTCTCTCAGTAAAGCAGTGCTCTCTTATGTGTGCACTTACATGGAACAGCAATGTAGACCGAAAAGTGAAAGCCAGTTTGAACACAAATCCTTCTTAGTGAACATCTGACAACAATTTTGTGTCAAGACACATTTGATAATAATGTAGTTGGAAAAACTATGAAGGGAGTCTGACAAGACAGAAAATTATGAAGTCTTGACAGCTCTACATCAGTCAGAACATAGTCACAGACTGGAGCAAAGCTGAAGAGAGCTCCAAAACAGATTTATAAAATGACTGGGGGGAAAAAAAAAATTATGTTGGTTTGAAATGCAGAAGAAATTCTCACTACAGTCAGATGAAGAAAGCCTGCTTTCTAGTAATGACATGCAATAATGGAAATTTCAGGAAAGAAGTTATCATCAGCTCCCTTTGACAGTCTGCAGTAATTAAACTTGTGTGATAAATGAGGAGAGTGAATTTAAAAAAACACCTACAAGTTGTGCGAGAGGTACAGTCTTTTCTTCTTTCACAAAACAGGACTAGGGAACCTGAGTGGTTATGTTTGAACTCAGCTGAATTCAGCTCTTGGAAATTTCAGAATCATCCTTACGACTGAACCAGGCCCATACAAACAGCCATCCCATCCACTCAGTTACTGCACCTATTAAATTTAGCACATTCCTGTTCAGCGGAACTAAGGGCTAGTCTGAACTTAATTAAACTTCACACTGTTTTCTGCAAGACCTGCTTATTTAATCACAGTCAAAAAACCCTTTCTAAAAAAAACTACACAGGAAAAAAAAATCTATAAACAGAGCTGAAAGACGGAAAATAAGAAAGGCAATAATTAAATAATCATAGCAGATGATACAGTCATTGCATTCACACTTACCTTGATACCAAAGGTGAAGACTGTCATGATTATTTTAAATATGAGTGCTAAACACAACTGCCATATAGCTGAATAGACGCCAGTGCCTGCTGGGCGGTCAGGGATATCATCCACTATTTTGCTTGCATTCATATCATTTCTGTAGTCACACAGGGAGGAGGATTCTAACGGCCCACAGTCTGTGAAGAGCTCTTTAATAAGCTCACTGGTGTTTAGCCTGGTATATGGATTAGGAAATGCTATGACAGCTGTTATTGCTGCAACAATAATAACTTCCAGGACAGGATACTTCCCAAATTTAGTCGATTTGCGTCGACGACACCATGCGATGTTTGCTCGGATGAAAAATGCTCCCCAGAGTCCACCAAATACTCCCAGAAGAATAAAAGGAAGCAGTTCAAAAAGGTACCAAGGAGTGTGATATTCCACATAAAAAAGAACTAGGCGGCTGTTACCAAAAGGATTGATGGACCTTAAAACAAATGCAGCTACTAAAGCAGCAAAAAATGATCTCCATAAAGTTTTCAGTGGGAAATAGTAACTGACCTGCAAAAAGCAAGACATGAGAATCCTTAGTGTTTCAGTTAAAAATACGGGACAGACCATTTTATGCACATGTTACAGTGCTGCTGCTCACATGGTATATGCTACAAAAAAAAAGTATTCTTAATGTTATCAGTGTTATTCCTGTCACTTGGGGCACTGGTGCTCCAGCACATGCTATATTTTTAAAATGCTCTACAACAACTCATACTGATATCAGTTTTAAAGTCAACACTAAAGCAGTATTGAAACCACTGACATTTTAAGACTGTTAGGAAATAATGCACAGCAACTTCTGTTTAAAAGCTTCTCCGTTTACAAGCACCTCTTTCTAGCACTCCTAAGAGCCAGATTGTGT